AAAAAAAAAAAAAAAAAAAAAAAAAAAAAAAAAAAAAGAAAAAAAAAAAGTAAGGACCAAATTATAAAATATCGAAAGATTAGGGATCAAAATATATATTTAGTATATTATTTGTAACGTTTACTTGACAATTCATTGAATGGTTTTATGCTTAGTGGCCGTTTCACCACTTTAATGAAAACTTACCTTATATGAAATTTAATAAATAAAAATTAGTTACATTTCCAAGTATTCCATTCACAATCTTATTAATATTTTCACTATCATTCGACTTTTGCTTTATTTATATATATATATATATATATATATATATATATATATATATATATGTATGTGCATATATACACTCAGAAAAATAAATGCAATTTAAAGGGAAGAGTACTTAAAAATGGTAAGCCTCACTAAAAATACACCACAAAAGTAAATAGAAAAAAATTAATTTTCTTGACTTTTATCGGCTCTATAAAAAGAAGTCGAATTTCAAAGGGAGGCTATTCGAAAGCTACATAGACTTCATGTGAGGTTGGCTCCCTAAAAAGGAGTCGACCCCTTAAGGAGAGGCTGTTCAAGGCTACATAGACCTCCAAAAAAGTTGGCTCCATAGAAAGAAGTTGACCCTAGATTAAGGAGAAGTTGTTTGAGGGTTGGATAGACGCCATGTAGACTCAAAGATTATTTGAAGGCTACATAGGCGTGGCACTTTTGCAATTAGAACTATGAATATTTGGTAATGGGAATTAATATAAAGGGCTTTTGTAGAGCATACGTGAGTTTTGAATCTGATACTTTCCTTCTAATCTGTCTCTCTTCTCCTTAATGTTGTCTTGGGCTCTTAATATAAATGACACTAAACTCAACACTCCCATCTCATTATTCATTTCCCCATATAATATCTTCCTCCTTTCATTATGGCCGCTCGCTTTGGTCGTTCCCTGTACCGTTTCTCTTCTGTCAACCGCCCCACTGCCCCCGCCCCCCGCTATCCTTCAACGGAACCCCGACCTAGCTCGCCCACCACTGAGCCCCGTCCTGCTTCTCCACCGTCTTCTCGTCTGATCGCCTCACCCCCCAACCCCGTACACAAATACCCCAAGTATTATATTCCAGCACTAACCCTTTTCTAATATGTGTCCATTACTTATAAAAATCTTAAAACTTGTTCATATTTTGAACTCAGGTCACCCGAGCCCAAACAGAAGGCGATGGTCCACAAGGGCGTCGAGAAGGCGGCGAAGTCGGAGCGTTATCTCGATTCGGGCAGGACCCAGAAGGCGCAGCAGCCAAATGCAATAAACATCGCGGGAGAAAATGTTGGGGCGGTGATGGAAATCGTTGAGTCCTCAAAAGGGGAAGGGGGACACGTTATGAAGAAGAAAGAGACGCCGAGAGGTGTAGTGAGCAACGCCGACGACACTGTCAATGATCAAGACAAGGACGCTTCTAAACACCACAAGGCCGGCGCCCAAAAAGCACCCGCTTCCTCATCACTGCCGACAACCACTTTTCTGAACAACAATTTTCAAAGCGTAAACAATTCCCTTCTTTTCGATGCATCTTTGGCTCACCGTGACCCCGGTTTGCACCTCGCTTTCTCCCGGAACCGGACCGGCGACCGGTTCACTCTTGATGACAAGAAGCAGCACCACGCAATACACTAGAAAAAAGAAAAAAAAAATACAAATATCTATACATATATATATCTCGTTATCTTATGAGAATAAAATGAATTATGTTCTTATTTTATGTTAAAAGAGAAAAAAAATGAAAATTTTATCGTCTATGTTTGAATCTCCGTCTCGTTTCCATAAAAATAAATAAAAATTTGAGTAGAGATGAGAATGAGAAAGGTGTTTTCGTCCATGCTTGCCTCAACCGATGTCTTTAAACATAGTTTGTTTAATGACATGATTGCATCGATATTTATTTACATTTTATAATCCAATAGTGTAGAAACCTCTCTATAGTAGTCATATTTTAAAACCATGAGACGGATGACAATAAGTAATGTTTTAAAACTGTGAGTCCGATGACGATACATAAAGGGGCAAAATGAACCATATCTACTAACGGAGGGTGGGTTTGAGCTTTTACACCCAATCACATCATTAATTTTCTTAAACCCTAATTCATTCTATTGTGTGATATCAAAACATTATAGTAATTTTAATATATAGTTTTTGGAAGAAACTTTTGTTCCTTGTAAAAAAAAATAGTTGTATGATGAAAGAAGATTTTGTGGGATTAGTTGAGATTTATGTTAATGAACACGTTTATTAAGCAAATGGATGCATGAAATCAATGTAAGCCAATTACAATGACATGTATATGATAATAGGATGGTGCAATTATTATTATATTGTTTGTTTATTATATTTATAATTATATTTTAGCATAATCAGCTTGATTTAGTGGGTTGAATCACGAAGAGGATCGCCACGGTTGGGGGTGTTGGAGAAAGCAAGGTGCAGGCCTGGATCACGGCGGGTTAAAGACGAACTGTACACAAGGGAATTGTTGACACTTTGAAAATTGGTGTTGATGAACGGCGCCCACGAACTGTACAAATTCGAACTCCATTTCTTCTCTTTCTCTTCGCTTTCCATACTCTGCTTTTTCTTCTGGATTTGTAGGGCATCGGATGATTGAGTGATGTGCATGACGGCGCCCACGTTCTCCCCTTCCAGCTTTATGTCGTCACTTTGCAGCTGCTGATGCTGCTTCTGGTGGGTCTTGCCGGAGACGCTCTCTGTCGGAGGAGATGCTGGCTTGCCGCTATATTTAGGAGACGAAGGCGGCGGAGAAGTTGGAAGAATATCAGTGGTGGTGGTGGGAGCAGAGGAAAAAGCTTCTAGCTCTGTGAGCGCCGTCGACGCTCGAACTTGAGATGGTGAGGCAGTGGCAGGGCGAGGCAAAGATGAGAGGCGTGGCCATGTACGGCCAAAACGAGGGAGATTTGCCATAATAATAATTAAAAATTTAAAAGAAGGATGAGAGAGATGGTCAAAGGGGTTTGAGTTTTGTGGGTATTTATAGGGAAAACGATGGAGCACAGAACACAAAGAAGGGGTAGCAAAGATCACAGCAAAAGCAACGAATAATTTGGGTCTTTCATTCTTCTCACCCATTCAAGCAATCCAAATATTGTGACAAACACATGTTTTTTACACCAAAACCAAAAATAAATAATAAATCCCTTCATTTACCTTCTTTTTTTTCTTCTTTTTTTTTCTTTTTAGCATTTATCTTAATAATCTATTTATTTATACTTTCCGTTTACATAGAATTACTCTCTACCCGTGTCATTTCTTTCGATTTCAATAGAATATAACATAATTTCTCCTTCAAGAAAAAGACGTATTATACGAACCGTCGTGAAGTATTTTCATTTCTTTATCTCAAAGGAAGAGAATAAAATGTTGAGGAATCTTTTCTATGATTATTTGCCCTAAAATTAAAAAGAAAATACAATATACTTATTTTTGTACTACAATTATTTTTCAAAGGTTAAGAATATTACCCAAGGAATTATTACTGCTTCAATATATCGACATGTATAACCCTATATTAGGATTCCAATATGCAAACAATGAAGAAATAACAGAGATAGATTCTATTGGACACACTTACTTCTGAATCTGATACAAGTGAGAGGGAGGAAGGCGATGCTTGTGCTCGCCAGACAGCACGTTCTTGTGTATGATAGTAGTTGGATTGAGCCAATGGAGAGCAGGGTTGAGGGAGTCTAGAGCTATACCGGGAGATGGGAAAGTGGAAAGAAATCATGAGGAAAAGGGAAGGAAGTTTACATAGAACTAACAGTAAATTAAGGCCAGGTTGTGAATTCAAAGACTTTGAGGACAATGTCAATTCCAGTGGGGATCTGCCATACAAAGAGTACGAGAGTTAATGCATTCAGCGCAATGTGAAGATTTCTGGCTGTCTCATTTCCCTTCTGCATTGCAGGTACAAGAGCAGCTGCCAGTGCCCACAGAACAGTTATCCCTGCTCATTCATTACCAACAAAATAAGCGCAAAATGCATATCAGATCACAACAACTACATAGAAACAGACTAAAGTACCAAAGTAGAGGGATCTGGATGGAATGCAATGCAATGACAGTACATTCATATGATACCTAAACTTCTAAAAGAAAGCCTTGAGATGCAAAAGCTTTTGCTTTACCTGCTCCTGCAAACAAATGAGGGCCTGGAAAAAGCTTTCCTGTTCTAAGCCATGTATTTAAGCCTCCACCAATTGCTTCCAAAACTCCGAATCCTAATATTATGGAACCAGCATTGAAGTGTCTGTCTCTGAAGGACCCTTTGATCAGCTCTTTCCTCTCCTGAAGTTCAAACACCAATGACATCAGATATGTTGGTTGAGCATTCAGTAGATGGACTAATCCATTCTACTTTGATTATGGAATTACCAGAATCAAAGGAATCTGTTCTGTTCTTAGATATAAGAATCAATCAAATAAGTCAACTCTTCACATTCAGATTCTACCACAAAATTAAAATTATATACCTCTGATCTCTATTTCCTTTTTTACACCATTGGACCACCTCCTAGTATTCCTTCAAACAATCTTCCAAATAGAGTTAACCACGTAGCACTATTGTGAGATCCCACATTGATTGGAGAGAGGAACGCGTGCCAACAAGAACAATGAGCCCCCGAATGGGAGTAGATTGTGAGATCCCACCTCAGTTGGAAAGGGGAACGAAACATGTTTTATAAGGATGTGAAAATCTCTTCCTAGCAAACGTGTTTTAAAACCTTAAAGGAAAACTCAAAGACAACAATATCGCTAGCGGTGGGCTTAGGCTGTTACAATTGTTCACCACTTATATAGTTGCACTTTCAACAATCTTTTCACACACAAATTAAATAATAACAAAAGAAATAAATAAATTTTCTATAAACAATCACCATCCATCTAACCTCTACCACTTCAAGAGTTTACTTTTATTTGAGTTGACTTATTTACTCTTAGAATGAATGTATAGTTGAATAAAACTCAAATATAGATGACATTATCAAATAATTCGGACCATGTACTTTTAAACTTATAGTGATTTAGTCCTTCAACTTTGACTTATACTCTTAAAATTGTAATAACTTAATCCCTATCATGAAAAATCTCATTAAAAACTAAGTATCACTTGTATTATGTAACGATCATAACATTATTTTTTATGATATAGATTAGCGTATTGATTTGATTCTGTTAATGATAACCAAATTTTTTAGTTCAAATGCAGGTGCAAGAATTTGAAAGTTTGGTCTGTTTGAGGAGATAAATAACTTGACCAATTGAGCAATGCTATTTTCTCTTAAGTGGGTTGTGGCTTATTAAATTTGCATATGAAGTACTAGACGTTTCAACACATACATCCATATACAGGTATATATATTAAAAAGTTGTGTCCTCGTCATGTCGCACCTTATTTTTTTTTTTTTAGAAATTAACATGGCGCAGTGTTCAAGTATATCAGTATTGTCTATCCATGCCCATTAGAGTTTAGAACATGGCTCTGATCCACTTATTTTCCTGTAGGGATGCTAATGGAAATCTAGTTATTGGCATGCTAAGAATCGCTATGTCTACATTGAAAGGAATAAGGATTATGCCTTTTCTATTCCTTCTTTTATTCTCCTTCTTATGTCTCCATTCCCTTTATTCTACCCATATTCGTCACAAACACAATCCAGACTCACCCATAATTGAGATTTTGGGTCTAGTAATAGATAATTAGTTAGGTTCGGAAATACCTCTGTGAGCTGCTGAATCTTCAATTCCGTGGGAGATGGAGGTGCCTCAACGGGCTTCCCATCTGGGGCTACTGCCGCAGGCACCACTTGCTTCTTGAGCTCATTAATTTCATTCTGAATCGTCCTGACTCGCCGCCATTGCCAGCCCAAATAGCCAGCCCAGAGTGTCCAGACAAAAAGTCCACCCATAACAACAGGGTGGATGAGGGCAATTGACCTTCCCTCCAAAATACCAAACTCCCCTCCAGCAGCAAGTGCATCCTGAAACCAATCAAAACGAATCGAACCCGAGAATCCCACAAACTAAAACCGGAAGAAGAGATAGAAACCGACCTGTGGATGAAGGAAGAATGGCAATGTGAGAGCGGTAAGGGGAAGGGTATAGGGTTTGAGATTACGAACACTCTGAATGAAGAAAGTGTGCGGAGATTTGGGGTTTTGAGAGAAGTGCAATTTGGTTGGAATGGAGGGAAGTGGAAGCTTGGAGGAACCAATGGGAGCGATAATGGGGAGTTTTGGAAGGCTGAGAGTAATGGCCATGCTCAGATTATTCTGGCGGAAAGGAAACAGAGAGAGAGAGGGAGGCGATGGGCGAAGAAGAGTGGAGAAGAAACAAAAGGATAAGCGAAGCGATGGGATTTGGATTGACATGGCTACTTTTGCTTTGCCGCGCCTACAAAGTAAAGTTAGAGGATTGATTCAGTTGCTGACGCAAATGAAATGAACGGCTCAAATTCTGTAATTGGCGAATGGGTCCCACATGCCACAACTGGGCCCAATTCCGAACCTTCCAAACAAGCATACGCGGGAAGGACACGCTGTTTCGATTAACTTGGTTTAATATTTTAATCACTCCAGTTTTCTAAAACTTTAACAATTACATGATGGATGAGCACTTTAGGTATTCCATACTGATTATTACAAGCTAACATTAAAAAGCTACCAAAAACAAATATTCATAGAATTCAGAAGTGATAAAGGGGTTCAGAGATTAGCACAAATTTATTGTTTTAATCCAAACTAGACATTCAACATAAATAAGTTTCCACCCACAAACTTTTTTTATTTCTTCCTAGCTAAGCCTCTTTAAAATCAAATAATAGTCTTATTAATATAATCCAAACGAACAACGTAATAGTATAAATATTACTAGTCAAAATAATTTTTATCATAAACATAATAATCTTTTTTTAACCTCCACTTTTAGGTAGACATGGAGAAGCTTTTAAGAAGAAGAAAAAAAATGAAGTGATTTTTTGGTGGATTCCAAAACCTTTTAAAGGGGGGAAAACATCAAATAGTAATTCATGCGACTGGTAAGTCAAAAAAAAAAAAGAAACATATAAAGCAAAACATTTTAGTACATTTTAGTTATTCCGATCAATATTCAAAACCATTGGTGTTTTAATTGCTAAATTACACTATAACTTACTCTGTAAATATTAAAAATTATACTGAATATTTAAATTAACCAAAAAAAGGGGAAAATAATTAGTTTGAAATGATTTAAAAATAAGATTGATTCTATGTTGGTGCGAGTGATTGGAAGCCACCATAATTGAATATTTATAAATAAACAAATAAATAAAGTTGCTTCCCATCCATTTGTTTATGGAGTTCTAGTTATGGTCCCAGTAATCATATCATCTCATACCCAAAATTTGATTATACCAAATAAAAGGACTCATCATTAAGCCATGCTCCTAAACAACAACCATATAAACAAATTTTTATTTATTTATTCATTTGCTGGGGTTAATTACCAACTTGGTTCCTTCATGTGGGCTTAATTACAATTAATTTTATATCTGAAATTGATCTGTTAAATATATAATAAAATTGAATGGAAAGTTGGGAAGATTTTAAAATTTAAAAGCAACTTAGAGAGTTAATTGAGGGATTAAAAAAGATACATAAAAGGTGAAGAGAGGTAATTAGCAGGGGAATGCGATGGACTGGGGTTGAATTTAGAGGCCGAACACCCAAAGCCAGAACACAGCCCATAACCCGCAATTCATCTTTCTTCTTCTTCTTCCTCCTCCTCCTCCTCCTCCTCCTCCTCATCATGCCTCTCTCCTCCTCCAATCCTGTTTAGTTTTTTTTTCTTCTTCCATCTAAAAAACTATATATAGATATAGATATATATATGTATATCTATATATATATCTCCTCCTGCTTGACCCTTTCCCTCTCTCTGTAACCTGGGTTTTGGCCCCCGTTAAACCTGGGCCTTCTACCCTTGTTGGGTTTCTATTGATTCTTCTAAATATGTTGTGTCTTCTACTCTGGGTTTGATCTTCTAGGGATTGTGTGTTTTTGTTTTTCCTTTTCCATTGGGTGTGGCTGAGGAGGCGCCATGGAGTTGTTTTTCAGGTCGTTTTTCGCAATCTTCATCGGAATTTGTTTCTGTTGGTTGTTGCGGATTGTTTTATTCAGGACCGGATTCGTTTTCGTGGTCAAGAAATGGTGGAGAAATCTAGAAGATTGTTTCCATGTTTACCAGTTTTTCAGAATCCCGGAATTCAATCAAAGTTCTCAACAGAATCACCTATATCGAAAAGTCTCTGCTTATCTTACGTCTTTATCGTCCCTGGAGGATTCCGACTTCACCAATCTCATCACCGGAAACACCCCCAATGACATTATTCTCCGCCTGGATTCCAATCAGACGGTTCAGGACAATTTTTTGGGGGCAAAACTGCTTTGGACCAATGAAGAATATGGTTCCAGAAATTTTGTGTTGAGGATTCGAAAGGCTGATAAGCGCCGAATCCTCCGCCCTTATCTTCAGCACATTCATACCCTAACTGCCGATGTGATTGAGCAGAGGAAAGGGGATTTGAAGCTTTTTATGAATTCAAAACCTAATAATCAGTCGGATACAAGATGGAAATCGATTCAATTCCAACATCCATCCACTTTCGATTCGATTTCCATGGAAACAGATCTCAAAGAAAGGGTCAAATCCGATCTCGAATCGTTTCTCAAATCCAAACAATATTACCACAGATTAGGCAGAGTTTGGAAACGAAGTTACCTTCTATACGGCCCTTCCGGAACCGGAAAATCTAGCTTCGTCGCCGCTATGGCGAATTTCCTCTCCTACAATGTCTACGATATCGACCTCTTCAAAGTCTCCGATGACTCTGATCTCAAGCTTCTTCTGCTACAGACCACGACCAAGTCGATAATCGTCGTCGAGGATCTTGATCGGTTTCTGATGGACAAATCGTCGGCGTTGAGCCTATCGGCGCTACTGAACTTCATGGATGGATTATTAACATCGTGCTGCGCGGAGGAGAGAGTGATGGTTTTCACCGTCAATTGCAAAGACCTGGTTGACCCGGCGGTTCTCCGACCTGGGCGTATCGATGTTCACATCCATTTTCCACTCTGCGATTTCTCTGCTTTCAAGAATCTCGCAAACAACTACCTAGGCGTGAAGGATCACAAATTGTTCCCTCAGGTTGAAGAAATATTCCAAAACGGCGCCAGTTTAAGCCCGGCCGAGATCAGCGAGCTGATGATCACGAACCGAAACTCGCCTAGCCGTGCGATAAAATCGGTCATCACGGCGTTGCAGACGGACGTGGAGCGACGGAGAATCAGCAGCATCGGACGGCGACTGAGCGACTGCGGGTCGAGGAAGTCCGTCGCCGAATCCGTCGAATCAGGCGGCGTATTGTGCAGCGAAAACACTCAGACCGGAAAAGAGCTGAGAAAATTGTACGGGTTTCTAAGGATGAAAAGCAACAAAATATCTCAGACGTTCGATGCGTCTCCTATGCGGAAAGAAAGTTGATTTTACGGACGTGGCGGAATCCCAATGGAGGAAGTGATTTCCTGCCATGGGCTCGCAGGTACTGGATTTGTGGGGCGGGGGGGGGGGGGGCTTAGATAGGGAG